ACCAATCAGAGCGACGACCGTGGTTTTTTTTATGGCATTAGCCGGTAAACGAGCAGACGGATCACCTGATGGTAAACAATCGGCGTCACCCATGGACACTTGAAACACCAGAGGCGTTACAAGTGCGTTATCGGCCGTTTGGGGATTAGAAGTTTGAGGATGGTTGGGGATTCGGGGATTGGGGAGATTGGGGAGGGGGGCTCCGGTAACCTCACTCACACGACGAAACACAACGCAAGCGATGTTTTACGTTGGTCGTCTGTAAGGCTGTGGTATCACTCCGGTCGAGCCGGCCCATTCGTGCCGAAGCATGGCTCTCCCACACTTTTTCTCTCGTTTTGTCTCTCTTCGATGTCTTGTTTTACTTTTTTTATTTTATTCGAAATCGTCTCGTTTCGATAAGTAAAAAAACTCGTACTAAACCCTCTGACTATTGCATTTGCTTGTTCTTTTCTTGTCCCAATTAGCTGATAATCACAGAACAACGAAATATAAAGTCTCTATGAGGGATAAGGAAAAAGTAGTAACAGTCAGTTGTTATGTATTTATTTAGGCTGTTTTGTAACTAAGGATATTTTTCCAGAGGGTCGTTTCTTGTCTTTGTTGCGAAGTAATTTCTTTTCATATCCGTATACGGAGTAGTAGGGTAGCGGCATCACGGTTGACGATACCGGCAACAGATCTGAAACATTAAACGATTTTTCCTGTTATTTTCGGTACATTGTTATAAGCATTTACTGGCTCGTTGATCCAGTCATGATTGTGACTATTGAGTTATTTTCTTTGGGATATTTTTAGATTTGCGTGGTAAGGATGTTTTTATGTATTATGATGTTCAATGGATAAAATATGTTTTATGAAAATCTGCCCTATTCGGTATTTAAATATTTCTACAGCTTCCAAAAAATGAACGTTCATTAATTGATTAAGTTTTATTCGTAGAAATGTTTGAAAATCTTTTTCAATAATTGTTACGACAAATCAATGGAAACATTTTCAAATTTTATGATATAGGATTTGTTCATGATTTCATTTGAAATATATAAATGAATTTGTAGGGTATCACCGACGCAACTGCCGATTTCTAAACAAAAAGTTTTAGTGTAACACAACACATTCAAAAGCACAAATCTCCTTGTAGGTATATAAATATAATCTGGTGAAATGTGGGTGTTCTACCTATATACATCATTATATATAGGGACGTGTATCTACATTATACATACCTACGCCTACGCACTACGGAAGAAATTGTGAATGTGTTATTTTATATTTGTTTTATCATAAGGTAAACATTTAAAAGGTTAAGCAGGGTTATATTTTTAAAGCCTGAATTTTTTGTTTCGTATGTTTTTTTTATATTTGATGGGCCGACGTTTGATCACTAACTCGCCTGGTGGTAAGTAGGGTTGCCACCTTTTATTTTGGTATTTAAAGTACATTGACGATTATAGGTAAGAAAAAAAAGTACACAGTACAAAAATAAAGTACAATTTGTTCTTATTTAGTATTATATTTAAAAATATACTTTTTATTGCTTTTTGCAGTTTGTATAAAATTAGTATCTTTACAATTACATTGAAATACTAAACAACTGCATCTTTACTAGAAATTGTCAAAATGGCGCTGGCGAGTGGAGAAATCGATTCAACATAAGTCGATAAATATCGATCTTGAATTTTGCAAAAATAAAGTATTTTCGTGTACTTTATTATTCTTATAAAGTATAGAGCACAATTACCGTAAGTGACGTACAATACTTTATTATATCTCTAAATTACGGGTGGCAACCCTAGTGGTAAGTGATGATGCTGTCTACGATGGAGCATGTCTGACTATAAGCAACCTAATCACTCGGGCCTTAAAGACACCCAGGTTAGCCTACAGTAAATACAGACTCTGGCAAATTTCACTCCATGTATGTTTTTTAATCATCACAAAATTTTAGCAAAAAAATAAAATAAACATAACATAACATAACATAACATCACGCCTTTTATCCCCGAAGGGGTAGGCAGAGGTGCACATAGAAGTAACACCCACTTTTCACTATTTATGTTATGAGTCCCATGTAATAGGGGGTGAGCCTATTGCCATATACCAGGCACATTTCCAGACTCCGTGCTACTACTGAGATTTTTAAAAAACCCAGTAATACTTTGCCCGACCCGGGAATCGAACCCGAGACCCCTTGCCCGGCAGTCGCACTTGCGACAACTCGGCCAACGAGGCAGAAATAAAATAAAATAGAATGAATAATGTTATTATATACAATATACAGGTGTAGGTGCGGTTATTTAGACACCAGTAACTCGCCCTGGGTTTGTACATGCACAAGGAGTCACTCATGAATCTATCAGATTGATGATGGTGATGGTGGTTAAATAGAAGCTGAAAGTCTAACATGGCCTAAAATTTACTAATATATAATTACAGGCCGATTGCTACTAGAGAGAGCGGTATACCTTTACTACACAATCGACCATGACTTTCATAAAAACGTTTAAAAAGTTAATTGTCATAAAGAAAGTTCCACGTTACACACAGCATTGACGTGAGATCATTATCAGTGCACGGTAAACGTGTCCACCTTGTTTCTGCTTGTCAAAGTCATTCCTACTCTGTGCATGCACGATGTGGCTTTATATATTGATTTAAAATTACCCGTGACGTCATTTGTGACATAAAATGTTTAGGTGTAGAAGTAATGCATAGGTAACGAACAAGTCAAGTTTATATTATATAACTTTCGTGAGACGTACTTAATTAATTATTATGTTTTCGGCGTTGTGTGTCGTGGAATGCTGCTCATGAATATGAGCCTCTAGCATGGCTTGAAACTAGTCTACATCCTCGTCCTAATCCTAATAATTAGGTATGTACGTGAGTAAGCCGAAAAACGTAATAATGAGGTCAAGTTTAATTACTATTTTATTTATTTATTTCAATTTCAGCCATGGTTGTCCCACTGCAAAGGCAAAGGCCTCCCTGTTGTTATAGATGTCCAATTCGTTCCGCCATCTCGTTTTGGGCCTGCCGCTCCTTTATTTTTTATTATTTGGAAATAATAAATAATACTTGCCTGATACGTTTACATTATCTAACTGGCTATCTATCTAGCTGTCTATTTCTCATGTCAAACAATATGCAACTAAAAAACCACTAGTCAGTTACAAAAATGCAACACAACAGTTCTATTTTTTCATTAACAAAAACAATAAATTACTTTGACATTTTCAATTACGAACCGAATAATATCATCGACATATCGACAGAACAGACTACTAAAATGAAATGACCTGTCAAAACGTACGTTTAGAATGATAGCCAGGTGCCTAATGGTAGGTAAGCATAACAGTTATAATTTGAAACTGACGCAATTTGCCCACAAATAGTTCAGTACATTGGCGTGTGGACTGGCACGGTACCGCCAAAATCCAAATAGGCGAAATAGATTTCTAACGTGCGGTTTGCAATCGTTGCGTGAATGTGCGGCATTCGCGGAAATGCTGAATGCTAGTATGTGGACTAGGTCGCGGGGTAAACTGGTTCTTATATGTATGATGGAAAGAGTCATATTTAGGGCAGATTAATGAACTTTAGACCTTATGGCATTCAGAAATTCTATGTCTTTTGGTCCATATGATGATGATAATGTTTGAACAATATTAGTTTGTTGCGTAGTCTCTTTGAATAAAAAGGGCGAGGGCTTGTTTTTTATCTTCATCATCAACATCCTATAAATGCCCACTGCTGAGCAAAGCCTCTTCTCACACGGAGAAGGTTTTAATCTTCAGTTTACTAAATTAACCTTGTCCATTTTTTACTTTTTTTTACGCCCTTCCATAACGGCGATGATGACAGACGTAACTAGCTAAAACTCAGTAAGATATAAGTATACTTCTCGGAGGACTTAACGAGTTGCCGAGGCGCCGGCTCCAAGTACAGGAGTAGGAATAGGGTGGTTTTAGTCAGTAAGCGTCTGACACTCCCTCTCGCCTCACCCGGGTGAGAGTCGGCGAAGTCATTGGATGATTTTCGGCCCAAAAAAGCCTTGCGAAACAATGATGTGATGTCGTATGACGATATGTTTTGGCCAATTTACAGACAAGCACATAAATCAAAGAAGTCGGCAAATATGCGTAATTCAATAAAAACATTGTTATATCTAACTTACTCTATTATTTATTGATGATTTATCAATAAGTGACCGTGACCGTCACCCATGATGACAATATAATGAATTGAGTAGCAGCTAACAACACAATCTGATGACGAATAACAATGACTAATGATTTGTGATGACTCATAAGTCATTATGGAGATAAATTATGCTTTGCTGTGAAACATACTATCGCATAACTTTACATCTTTCGTCATCCGAAAAGGTAATGTGGAGATCCACATTACAGGTACCAATTATTTTTGACACAACATAACATCACGCCTTTTATCCCCGAAGGGTAGGCAGATGTGTACATTACGACACTTAATGCCACTGTACAATGTAACAACCACTTTTCACTATTCATGTTATAAACCCAGTTATACTTTGCGCGACCCGAGAATCGAACCCGAGACCTTTTGGCCGGTAGTCGCACTTACAGAATCACTCGGCCAACGAGGCAGTTCTACTTGAGAAAGCACTCATATTGTTGAACTGCAAATGAATTTGAACTTTTTAAAACACAATAAGTGACAAAAAGAAGAGATAAGTACCACGAAAAACGCTAACGAAAAGAAATAGTTTTGACAATTTTAATCGTTTTTGTTTTTTATGGCATAAGTCGGTAAACGAGCAGACGGATCACTTGATGGTAAGCAATCGGCCTCGCCCATGGACACCTAGAACACCAGAGGCGTTACAAGTGCGTTACCGGCCTTTTGGGTAGTAGGAGTTTGGGAAGGGGAGGGTAATTGGGCCTCCGGTAACCTCACTCACACGACCAAACACAACGCAAGCGTTGCTTCACGTCAGTTTTCAGAGGTCGTGGTATCACTCCGGTCGAGCCGGCCCATTCGTGCCGAAGCATGGCTCTCCCACACTTAAAACTTTACATGTTATTTATGCAACATCAGCCTTGAGCAGTTGATTGCAACTATTATTTCATAAAAAACGATTTTATTCCTTCCTCTTATGAAAATAAAATTTGTTTTCGACCATCACCTGTCGCCGTTTTTCAGAAACCTTCCACTTACACAGACACTTAGTGTTACCTACTGACAATGTCAACCAAACACAGACTTCCCTTAAACTTATCTTGTCCACCACAACTATTAGGACTCCTACAGAAATCCTTCCTCACGTCATCAGTCATAAAGTCGGACTGGGTACAACCACCATCACATCAAACTACCCCAACGCTCAGATGTCTTCAAGAGACTTTCGATCTTATTACCAGTGTATAAAGTTAAAAATACTGTGACGAAATCTGACAGATTAGGGTAGTTTGATTTGCTAGTGTAGAAATAAGTATTCTAGGTTTTAAACCACAGTAGTCGGTAGTTACCGTTTTAGAGCGGGCTATAGAACATAAGTATTAGATAAAGTTGTACGATATAAAGCGGTGAGAGGTGGCCATTACTAACTCGTTTTACTACAAAATCTTAGTGGTTACACAAACTATTGATGTTGTGTTTTATAAGTTCTGTTTTACGCATGTTATGGGTTATTTGTTTTGGTAGTTTTATTTTATTGACTGCCTCGTTGGCCGAGTGGTCGCAAGTGCAACTGCTGGGCAAAGGGTCTCGGGTTCGATTCCCGGGTCGGGCAAAGTATTACTTGGTTTTTAAAAATCTCAGTAGTAGCACGGAGTCTGGAAATGTGCCCGGTATATGGTAATAGGCTCACCCCTTATTACATGGGACTCATAACATAAATAGTGAAAAGTGGGTGTTACATTGTATAGTGCCTGCTTACCCCATCGGGGATAAAAAGGCGTGATGTTATGTTATGTTTTACGCATTGTAATAGGAAGGATAAATGAGGAATGTTCGGAGTTCTATTTAACACCTAACACATTTTTTTTGATTACGCATCATGTCACGTGCGCTTGAATATTAATTTTACGTATTAATTGTAGTGCATTTAAAGTCAAAGTCAAAGCATTTATTAAAATTAATCCTTAATTAGGCTCTTTTGACTGCCTCGTTGGCCGAGTGGTCGCGAGTGCGACTGCCGGGCAAGGGGTCTCGGGGTCGATTCCTGGGTTGCGCAAAGTATTACTGAGTTTTTAAAAATCAGTAGTAGCACGGAGTCTGGAAATGTGCCCGGTATATGGCAATAGGCTCACCCCCTATTACAAGGGACTCATAACAGAAATAGTGAAAAGTGGGCGTTACATTACAGTGGGATTAAGTGCCGTAATGTGCACCTCAGCCTACCCTTTCGGGGAAAAAAGATGTTATGTTATGTTAGGCACTTTTGAAACGACAAAAATTTAATTGTCCGTCCGTCTGTCTGCCAATGAAGCTAGGCGCTCGGCTATTTTTCGGAAGCACAGATGTTATTGAATTATTTAAGCTTAACATTACCAACTTTGTCTTTCTTCTTCTCTATCATCCTTCGCCTGTTCCCGTTCATCCATCACTTCGCGTTCATTTTACAAATTGCCGTGTGAGGACGCGAAGGAATTTACCTTACATTATTAGCTAACGCCGTTGAAAGATTTGCTTTCATAATAATGCCACTTTTACCAAATAAATACTAAATGATACATACCAACTTCCTTATAAAACTTGATAAAACAAACAAGTTGATGGAGTAGAATTATTAATACAAAATATTCAGAAAAACTTCACGTCTGTATCACGGCATCTATTTTCTTTTCCCATCTCTTCAGTAACAAAAACACATTCACGTAATAATTTACCCAGCAAAATAACCCAAGTCTTATCACCTTTATCCAATCGGGAAGGATGTTCGTTATCTCTGCATAGAAATAACAGGCTTTACTCACTGGGGCACTCACATTTTAGGCACAAAGAGGGTCCGAATTGCAATAAACATTACCTAAAGTGCCTATTTATTTTGTGGTAAATACTCTTTGGTTAAAGAACAATATGATATGGTATAACACAAGGACGTTGAAAAAAATATAAATCGGAAGAAATGATACTGGGTTTTAAAAAAAATTCAGTGGTAGCACGGAGTGTGGAATTGTGCTCGGTATATGACATTCATAAGTCTAATGAAATAAAATAGTGAAAAGTGGGTGTCACATTGTACAGTGGTATTAAGTGCCGTAATGTTCACCTCTGTTTACCCCTTCGGGGATAAAAGGCGTATTGTAATGTATGTAATCTTATTATTAAAAATTGTAAACGGAACAATGAAACTTTAAAACGAATTAAAAAAGACTAAACTATGTCAGTTATTTTATGTTAAACTATCCGCGGGTTAACTGCAGCGTTATCTCACAGGTTTATATCTTGACCGTGGCCCGCGCGTGCGCAAGGCCGTTCACTTTGCTACCACTTACTCCGTTATACGAACCTACTTTTATTATGCATTGTGATTATATAACAGTTGTTAATATTAATCTAGGTAGTACATGCAATGATGAGGCTTTTGTTTACTGTTACTAAAAGGTGACTGACTCAATAAGTTTTGTATTTCACATTAAACTGAAGTGGGTGGATGGAGGTACACATGTTGAATGTACTTCTGGTCACTTACATGGGTTTTTTAATGGGGTAAGTCAGTAAATGAGTAGACGGATCACCTGATGGTAAGCACCTATCGGCCTTTTGGGGATTAGGAATTTGCAGATTGTTAGGGTTTCGGGGATTGGGAAGATTGGGGGGTAATTAGACCTCCGGTAACCTCACTCACACGACGAAACACAACGCAAATGTGGTACGCAGATATACATAAAATGGAGATTTACGCTCCTACTCCTACGAGTACTGTACCCTTTTTAGATAAAGATGCAAATTTAATCTTTTAATTTTTGCTATGTCTAACTGAGATCAGAATGTGGTGATAGGGGTCAGACAGCTTTTACTTTATGGGACAAGCCCGCCACTACCTCCCAAAACCGCTGCAACTCCTGTACCCTATGATTTACAGTAGATACAACCATGAAAACACTACAACATTGAAGTTCGGCGCGTCTCAGGGACATGGATAAACTGTCTTGGTTCGTGCAATGAAGTGAATCAGAAGATATTATAAGAGGAGAAGATAAGCCAGACAGCTTGTATCCATTTTTTGAGTTTTATTTGTCTTATTACAGAATAATAGTACAATAACGATTGCACCATAAAATTCCAATTGAGAAACGTTCCTAGATAAAAGCATATTGCGTGGTTTAATTAAACAATCAGTGTGCTTAGCAAACATTGTTTTTTTAGCAAGGCTTGTTACCAAATCGTATAAACCGCATTGACTCTTGATATTTGTTTAAACATGCAATATTGTACATCGGTATGTAAATGATGTGGTCTATTCTATTACATAAGTTTGCATTATCATTTTTATAGAAGGGGTTTCTATAAGTTATTTCTGAGGTTTATTATTATTGTTAATGAGCTAATTATAATAAAAACGTAATTTAAACTGTCAAACACCAAGCGGTCACCGGTGACCGCGACCCATTGTTCTTTAATTGTGTCTATAAAACCGGTACTCGACGAGTTAAATCAAATATAATCAATTTAAAATAAGCAGATGATTCCTATATTTAGAAAGTAAATTATTTTTTATTAGATACGTTTCTAACGGTAAGTTAATAAATACTAGAATTAAGAGTTACAAAAATAAGTTAATTTGAGAAAGAAACTCAGTGCGCAGTACTGTAACAAGTTTAGTAGTGATAAAAGACCTTAATGGTCACTTTGGATAACCATAATTGAAATAAAATTAAACACAAATTACTTATATGAAATAGCTGCCAGTTAACCTTATCATTTACTAGCTTCTATCCGCGATTTCGTATGCGCAATCTCGTTGTCTCCCGTTCCCGTAGGATTTTCAGGATTTTTTCTGTCTTAAGAACCTTCTCCTAATAATAACAAATACAACAATAAAAAAAAATGTGAAATCGGGCCAGCCATTCACGCGTGATGCCGTGACCAATGGAAAAAGGGATTCATTTTTATTATAAAGATTATGAGACGCTAAAAATAGGCCCTAAACATAACAATTTTAAAGAATAGAGTACCAAATAGGTAATGTGCAAACTGGGACGGGACCCACTACCATTCGAAAGTGCACCAGTCTCATGCGCAGTTAAGTTATCAAGGTAATGGAGTGCAACCTGCGCCTGCGCACTATTTAGAGTACATTTAAATATTTTTGTCGTGACCTTTGTTCTGTCTCACCTGTTATATACTTATCTCTTTCTTACACGTGTCGATTTGATATAGAGTAGAATTAATTTGCGAAAATAACTTAGTTATTAATGTATTTATTATTTATTTATTGTTTCCAATGTCTTGAATTCTTTCGTACGTTGAATTGTTTACGAAAACGAATAAATTCAATAAATTATAAATTGTATATGATGATGATAATAATAATGAAGACAGTGAAGATACGGTTTTGTTCGTTGATCTCGCCAAGTGTCGTAAGTGAAGCTTGTAACAGCGGGACTTAAATATGTGAGTAGATCATAATATAACTGAGAATTTGACTGTTTAACCGACTTCAAAAGTGATTCTGAGTATGACTTGTATATATGCATGTACTTATTCGGAGTTGCGGAGAACCTAACGGGTAACCGGGGCTCCGGCTCGACGTGCAGGAGAAGGAACGGGGTGGTTTTTAGTCAGTAAGAGTCTGACACTACCTCCCGCCTCACCCAGGCGGGAGCAGTCATTCGATGATTTCCCCCCCTTAAAAAATGCATGTACTTATGTATTTTTGTGCACCATAATCTCATTATTGGCTGAACCGACTGTGTTGCGGATTTCAGAAAAGTGTTTGTTATACTTACGAGACGGTTTTAGTATATCAATTAACCGAGTACAAAAAGAGTGAATTGAAGTTAGTTTTTTAACTTAGTTTATAAATGAATTATTTTATTTTACTAAGTAATAAGTAGAATCATTGTAGGATTAATAAGCGATAGTGATGCTGAA